TCGTTTGTGGATTTTAGATGATTGTTTCAGCTCTCGCAAGTATCTTCACGTTTCACCTGTGTCTTCCCTTTACCTGCAATGTCCTTCATTAAACAAAAATTTAATCACGGTAATAATGTCTGCAATCTTAATTTGGTGTAGCCATAGCCTTGTGTTTTTCATTTTAATATTGATGTAATCAAATATATCAAATTTTGTCTTATGGTTTGTGTTTTCAAAGTTTGTTTATTGCAAACCTCATTAGTGATAGGTCTACACAAATACCTCATTGCCCACAGGTCACAACGACGTTCTCTATCACATTTTATTAACGTTAAAGCCCTTCCTTGTGTATGTAGTTCCGGAGCCAACTTTTGTGTGGCATTGGATAGAGAACCAGTTTAGTTTTTCTCTGTATGGAGAGCCTGTTGCCTACATGAGCAATGAAATAGTTCGTCCTTTCTCTATGGATTTCTTTTGCCATCTTTCCATGTACCCAGTTCCTAGAAGTGTAAATACAGATCTGTTCCTGAGCTCTCTACTGTTCTGTGTTCTCAAGCCAAAACACATCATTTTTCTTTTCTGCTACTGCTTTTTAAGTTTACTACCATGGCTTTGCAATATGCCCTAAAATTTGGTAAGATTCTGTCAGTTGCTACTTGATACATCTTGAGGCTGTATTTTTTGGTGCTTCTATGTTCATGATGAATATAGCTTCCATTTGTCCCTTACCATAGCTTTTTGTGTCTTGGGTTCTAGCTTGTCAGATGATAACATTGCTAGCACAGCTATCTGGGGTTGTCTGTGCTAGTATATCTTTTCCCATCCTCTATTTTCAGACAGTTGTAAGGTTCACCAAGCTGTTTGGTCACCCTGACTTCCCAAACCTTTTTAAAAAATCTACTGGATCTGTTTCTCTTACTATTGGAGCACTTCCTTCTGAAGTGTGTTTGATGCGGTCTCTGTGTGGCAAACCTTTTGAGGTTTTACATGCCTAGTTGCACTTTTATTACACAGTCACATTTGAGTGATGGTTTGGTTGGATAAAAAGTCCTAAATTCATAACTATTTACCTCTGGTATTTAAAAATATTATTCTGTTGTTTTCTCATGTCCACAATTGTTGTTGAGGTGTCTGATAGTAAACCAATCCTTGCCTTTTTTTTTTACCCCTTAAAAATCTGCATAGCTGCGTTCATGTCCCATACAGGGACTAAACCCACAACTTGGTGTTATCGGCACTGTGCTCTAACCAACTGAGCTAACCAGCCACCCTCTTGCTCCTGTTAATGTTAAGGCTTTGCTTTTCTTCTGTAGATGCATTTGTAATTTTCTCTTTGTCTTTAATGTTCTTAAAAGGTATTATAATGAAATTAGTGTGTTTTTCCTTACCTTCCCTCTTTAACACTCTGTGAACCTGTTCAGTCTGAAGTCTTGCATCTCCTTTTCAGTTCTAAGAAGGTTATTTCTATTTTCAGGTTTTCCATACCTTAGTTTTTCTTTTACATGTCCTCTTTCTATATATGCTTTCCTGCCTTCCAGGAGACTCCCTTAGCCCAGAATACAGCTCACTGATTGATGCTGCAGCCACCTGCCCCTGCTACTGCCCCATTCATAATATTCTTTGCTTTAATTACAACAGTTTTAACACCACATGTTTCTTCTTGCTTCTTTTTGGACAGGTTTTTATATCCGAATGCCTCCCTATTTCTCTTTAAGTACGTTTAATATGCTCAGTTCTCAGTCCATCTGTCCCAACACCTCTGTGTCAGGTAGTACATGTGCCATTTACTGATTTTCTTTCAGGCAGTTGTCTTCTAGGTGCCTAGTTGTTTGGGTGTGGCAGGCATTCTTCTTGGTAAAGTACAGAGGGCTGAGGACGGATCTCAGTCTGTGTCAGCCCAAGTGTGTTAAGGGGGAGCCTTGGGATGGGGAGCCCAGAACTAGGGCTGATCCCTCTGCTTTGCCGGTCAGGGGTCTCTCCACTCTAGGACAGGCAGCATGGTGAGGAGGCCGTCTCCTTGGTTTGTAGCCCACCAGCCGTGGCGTGCAGTGAGAGATGGGCATATAAATGCCCAGGTGTCTTTGTTTGGTCCACATGTATTTTCATCAACTTGTCACCTGAGAAGAGCTTTTGGCCCCGTGCTGTCACCCGAGGACCCCTGCACAAGTGCCTGGGTTGCTACCCTCATTTCTTCTATGAGGATGCAGACACTGCAACCCCAAGGGAGCATGTGTGTACCGGGGACAGGGTGACAAGGGTAGAACCTCACAAGCCCTCCTCCGTCTGTCTTCATGTTGCCACCTCCAGCTGCCCGCCCTTTCCCAGGCTCCATCCCCCCCGCTGCACCCCAAAATCCACCAGTTCAAAATAGCGTTCGGTCTCCCCAGGAGTGCAACTCCTTTGGTGTTGTTGGTTCCTGGAGTCCCTTTTACTTTTCTAGTGTCTCCAGGCTGACCTGGGGGCAGGGACACAGTGGCCTGTGCTCGTAGCCGTGTTGGAAACGTGTTCACCGCACCTTCATGCCTGAAGGCAAGTGTTGCTGGGTCCGCCATTCCGGGTGGGCAGCTGTGAAGCTTCACTCCACTCCCGCCTGGCTTCCATCACTCCTGTTCAGAAGTCTGCCGCTGTCATTCCTGTGTGGGGGTCTCTTCTCCTCTCTGGCTATTTTAAGATAGTTTTCTTTTGTGTCCTAACAGTATGTGTACACGTGGATGTCTGTTTATTTACCTTCCTGGATATATGTTGTGCTTCCTGCAGCTGTGGATTTGTATCTTTCGTCAATTTTGGAGAATTTCTAGTAATTTCATATCTAGTTTTCAGCTCATTGATTCTCTCTTCAGCTATGCCAAATATGCTATTTAATTTAGCCACCGAGATTTAACAATTGTATTTTTCCTATCTGTCCAATTCTTTTTCAGAACTGTTTGGTCATTTTTACATTTCTTTATCCTTGCTAATTTTTTGGTTCTGTTTTTTCTTTAAATATTTCATACATGATTATTTTGTTAATTCCAGTATCTGAAGTTCCTGGAAGATGAAAACTATTGTAACTTCTCTGAGGACTCGCGCTTGTGACTTCCCTGCCCACGTCTGTAAGCTTTTCTGGGAGCTCACGTATGGTTCACCTCAATCTGTCTGCGTGCAGAGGGCCCAGGGCGAAAATGCCCCCCTCTGGGAAGGCTTCGTGCTCATTCTGCTGGGACCAGGGGGTGCTGCTGCCAGAGTCCTGCCAGAGTCCAAGAGAGCATTGGGTTTGGCTCTCCCTCCCCCGCTCCTGGGAGCCAAGGCTGACCTTCCAAGCCCAGCCTCAGCTGCAGCACTGGTCCTGAGCGCAGCCCTGGATATTTCAGTTGCTTTCCATGCACTATTCTGGTGTCAGCTCATCGTTTCAGATTCTTCAATTTTGTTTTTTGTTTTTAAGCTTTTAGAGATTTCCCTTACTTATTTTGAGAGCGCCTAGTCTGCACACTGCAGATTGGAAACCTCCATCCTGGCCCTGGCCCTACCTGCCCACCTCCCAAGTGCTCTGGAAAGTGACATGGGTCCCTTCTGCCTTCATCGCCAGCCTCTCGAGAGCATCCCACGTGGGCGACCGCCCCTTCCTTCTCGTGGCCCTCTCTGTTCCTGGCTCCTATAACTCCACACTGCCGCAGCATTGCTCTTTTCTCTCTGGCTGCTTCTTCTAAGTGCCCCCTACTGGGGGCAGGGCACTTGGAAGGGAATGCAGTCCGCTGGCCCACTTCCCCACGACGTGTTCTCCCCCATGCCAGGGCTTCAGCACCAACCCTGCAAACCCACACCACAGCTCGACTGCCCCTGCAGGTCTGACCTGCCACCCTTGGCTTCTCCAACCTGACTAGATGCACCTGCCCCACCCCTCACCTGTCCTGCTCCAGCTACTCAGCCTCCCTGTCACACGGTACTTAGAAGGGAGGAGGGAGAGGGGCTGGTTGGGCACTGGAGGGTGGCCACTGCTGGGGACCTCTGCCCTCAGCCTTCTGGGAAGGCCTGGGACGGATGGGGTTCTGTCCTTCTCTCCTACTCAACACGCCCACGGCTCCACAGCTCAAGCAGACTCAGGCGCAGATCGCTGGGCAGGCATCCTTCTCTCCCCCAGCCGGCTCCCACCGCTGGCCTCTCTCTTTGCTCAGGCACCACCTCCTCCAGGAAGTGCCCATCCTAGGGAAGTGGCAGGGAGGTGGCAGTCTCTGGTGGTTTCTAGGCGTCTGACCTAACCCATCACATGCCCCCTGGACAGCTCCCTGGGCGCCTCTCAAGGACAAGAACCATGTCCAAGGCACTGTCCTCATTCGTGTGGTTATGGAGTGATGGGTGATGACCATGTGCCAAGAACTCTCTGAGGAGCCTGGCATGCTGCCCAACAGCAGCCGTGGGTGGGAGCCGGGGGCCGTGGGCACAGCTGCAGGGCCCCCTATCTGGGCTCGAGGAAGGAGGGAGGACTTCGCAGAGCGGGTGGTGGACATCGACACTGGGAACTCAGAGAGCAAAGGAGAAGCAGCCAAACTGGGGAGAGCCGAGATGGGGTCCTGGGGGGCTCTGCAAGGGCCCAGGTGAGTGTGAGTGACTGGGGAAGGCCACAGGGCAGCTGGCAGGCAGGGCAGACGGGGAGGCAGGACCGGCCTCAGGGAACCGCAGGGCCACGTGGAGGAGAAGGCCTCACTGGGGTCGGGGACGAGAATGGAAGGGGCAGGGGGAGGCGGGGCAGCCTGGACCAGGGTGAATGCGTGAGAGGCTTCCAGGCCCTGGGGGAAGGGTCTTGGGACCACCTGAGGACAGGGAGAGGTGGGCGGGGCTGTCGCAGATGAACCTGAGGCGCTGGCAGCCTTGTGCTGTGGTCCAGGGCCAGTGGGGACATCCCTGGCTCTCTCCAGACAAGTGAGACATCCCCCCGAGTGGCCGCCAGGCCCTGTCCGACCCCACAGACAGCTGTCGTCTGGCTTGGAAGGGAAGCCTGGCCCCGTCCTGATCGCCTGAGGAGAGGCAGGGAGAGCCTGAGAGGCCATGCCAGCATTTAATAAAGATAGAGCTCAACGGCAGCAACAACCACAACGAAACAACGAGAACGACAACACACTCGAGCCGGCCGCAGGGCCAGCAACTCAGGTCACAAAGTGAGACAGTTCCGTGATGTCCTCCGAGAAGCTCAGGTAGAACCTGCGGCACCTGCGGTCCTGGTCCTGCTTGAGGATCTCAAAGTCTGCAGCAGAGACCACAGGTCCCAATGCATGGCCCGGTCCCCCAGGCCCAGGAGTTGGCAGCCTGATGTGGCCCCGAGGAGGGCCGGGTGAAGGCGTAGCCTGTTCCATGTGTGTCAGGGGTGGGGGCCACAGCTCTGCCCCAGGACCCCAGCTGAGGGGACACAGCCTGTCCTGGGTGTGTGGGGGTCACAACTCTGCCCCAGGACCCCAGCTGAGGGGACACAGCCTGTCCTGGGTGTGTGTGGGTCACAGCTCTGCCCCAGGACCCCAGCTGAGGGGGTACAGCCTGTCCTGGGTAAGTGGGGGCCACAGCTCTGCCCCAGGACCCCAGCTGAGGGGACACAGCCTGTCCTCTGAGCCCCAATCTGAAGGAAGAGATGATGCCCCACTTTCGGGAGAGGCTAGTCTCGGGGAGACACAACCTGGCCAGAGGGGCCTCCTCAAGTGTCACGGAGCAGACAGATCCCCTCCCAGCCGCCCAGCCCCGGGCTCAGGACCAAGGTCCCGGCTTACGTTTCCTCAGGATCCTCACGTCGCCCTTCTTCAAGTAGAAGCAGAGGTCAGTGAAGTAATCCTGCAGCATCTCCCCTGGTTCAGTTAGGGCAGGTGGTGGGCACTGGGGCTGGGGGTGACCCAAGCCCATTGATGGAGGCGGGTCAGCTCGTGCGGTGGGAGCCAGCCTTGGCCAATGGGCCGGTTCTGTCCACCCCACTGGGCCCGGAGCCACTGCCCCTCTAGAGCAGACGCTAGGAGAGGTGGGGGCTGAGGGCCGCAGGGCCAGCACTTACCGATGAACTTCATGGCTGCCAGCTTCAGGCTCTGGTGGGGGCTCTGCAGGTACACTAAGGCCTGCATGAGAAACTGGTGGTAGCTGCCAAAGTTGCTCTCCACCTGGGGATGGGGAGGAGGTGTCTGTGGCCAGGTCGGGGCCCCTGCGGCTCCCTGGCCTCTGAGACTTGGCTCTGCCTGAGGTCCCCCCACTGCCTGGAAATGAGGGGCAGCCACCCCGTCTGGGTCCAGAGCCAGGGCCGGCCCGCAGGGCTGTGGTGGGGAGGGGAGGGGCTGGAGCCGGGGCCCGAGCGGCCTCAGCGGTGCCGTGGGAAGCGGACGGCTCGGAGCCACCTATGTTAAAACACTAATAACGAACACATAATCCACGAGTTTCAAATACCACAAATCACCAGATCAAAGGAGTGTTTAACAATGTCACAGACCAGGTTGCAGCATCAGGACGGCCGTGCAGTAGGAAAGGGAAGTTGGCCACTGCAAACTTGAAGATGAAGTTCCTAGGAACAGCACCGACTCTTGAGAGTAAAATGTACATGGTGGGGTAAGTGAAAAGTCACCGTGGACAGGGCCTTGGGGTAAGTGACAGCCAGTGGCAAACTCTACCCAGGGCATCGGCGGGGAAGCTGCTCCTGCAGTCCGCGCCCATCTGAGACAGCAGCAGCAATTTTGGGAAGGTGCGCAAATGGAAGGTCTGTGCAGGGCGGGAGGAGGGGTAAGGCAAAGAAGGATGGAAATAGGAGTGTCAAGCAGTGACATTCAGATGGTCACCTTATAGTTCCAGTGACATCATGTCTCGTCGTATTTACAGTGCTTGAAACACTCGGGAGAATCTGATATTCAAACCTAGGATTTTAACTAAGCATTTAGAGGGGTGTCAATAAATTTGTAATCATTATGCAAATATGCAGGGAAACTTACTTTGTTAAATCCATAAGTTTTAATTTATAAGTTGCCTTAATAATGGACAAATGTAACATGAGTAATATTGGCTGTTTAATGTTTTAAAAGGTGCAGTTTAATAAATTAATAAGATTAATAAACTGGATACTAAACCAAACACAAATGGTAGTGCATGTACCTCTCCCTGCATGGGAACGCCTCCGAGAGGAAGGAATCTGTTAGCAACAAATTTCTCTTAAAATCCTCAGCTGGGCCGAGCCCTGGTGCACTCGGGAGAGTACGGCGCTGGGAGCACAGCAGCGCTCCCGCCGCAGGTTCGGATCCTATATAGGGATGACTGGTGCGCTCGCAGCGCTCACTGGCTGAGTGCGGTGTGGCTGGTCGCAAAAAGGAAAAAAAAAAAAAAATCCTCAGCTGGGCCGAGCCCGGGTGCACACGGGAGAGTACGGCGCTGGGAGCACAGCAGCGCTCCCGCCGCCGGCTCGGATCCTATATAGGGACGACTGGTGCGCTCGCAGCGCTCACTGGCTGAGTGCGGTGTGGCTGGTCGCAAAAAGGAAAAAAAAAAAAAAAAAAAAAATCCTCAGCTGAACTAGCTAAAAACAAGGAGCAATCCCTGAGGGCGGAGCTGTGCGGGGACAGCACCAGAGCCCCCGGCGTGTGAGCCGATGCTTGGACCACCTCGAGCATGCTGAGGCTGGGCGTCCACCCCAACGCCCAAGGTGGCCCTGGGCCCTTGGGAGCCTCAGGAGGAAGAGGGACCCCGGCAGAAAACAGGCACGCTGAGAACCGGACTTGGACCAGCAAGACTCCAAGGGCAGCCATAGAGAACAAAAGCACGTGTGTCTGTATCCCGGCCCGGGAGAAGACGCGTTTCCTTAAGGAAGGGTGACCGAGAGCCTCCTGGGGACTTAGCTTGGATCTACACTGGCTGCATCCTGTGGGGACTTCAGAGCTGAGAGATCAGCATACGAATTTGTTCCAGATCAGCAGCAAATACAAAGACACCCTGGAATGAGTCGTCTTGGGATTCACAGAGAAATGAGGGGAAAATCCGCCACAAGTGAGGGCCAGAAAACACAACCAATGGCAAGATTAGGTCCTCGAGAATTTCAGATGCGCGAACTACCTAGCAGAGACAAAGTATGTGCTTAAATGATTACATTTGTGGGGAATGGGGACTCATAAGGAAAGGGCAGGACCTTATGAGGAAGGAGAGACAGACAAGGAAGAAAGAGAAAAGTAGAGCTGTTGGCAGGGGGGAGTCAGCGTTTGGTTTAAGAGCAAACTGGAGATGGGTAAAGATAGAGTTAGAAAAGAGGGAGACAAATCTGGGAAAAAACCCAAATTGCAGCACTGGGAGAGGGAAGAGATGGGAGATGTGACACTGAGGTTAAGACACGCGGACCAGAGCAACGTGGGAGGCCAGCAGCACACATGTGGGAGATTCTGTCGTGCCTGTTACTGATTTTTCTTTTACTTTTCTTTTCTTCTTCTTCTTCTTCTTCTCCTCCTCCTCCTCCTCCTCCTCCTCCCCCCCTCCTCCTCCTCGTTTCTTCTTCTTCTTCTTTTTTTCCACCTCTCAGCTCCAAATTCACCTGTTTTGCCTGCTCTGTGAGGATGGTCTCAGCCTGTGAGCACCTCCTTTGTGCAGGCCACAGACAGCGAGGGAGAGACACAGCTCCCTGGCCCTGCACACCCAGCGGCCACCTCTCCCGCACTCAGCTCCCCGGAGCACAGTGGCCAGCACTGCGAGGTGGGAGCAGCCTTGCCCCCGGAGCCCCCTCGGGCATTGTGTAGCGGGGTGTCTCCTGTGTGACACCTCCCCGTGAGTGAGCTTTCCTGGCATCTCAGAGGGCTTATGTCCTGAATTCTGCACCCCATCGATTCTGCTATCAAGAGAGTTATCAGGGGGAGGGTGTCTTCTCTGGGCACTTATCTCAGCCCCAGGGGAGCGGCTATCACATATCGCATGATGTTACATGTGCTGCTGTGTTGCATGTGTAAGTCCTGCCATTCCTCTATCTTCTAGAATCCTCTGTCCTTCTCACTAGCCAACCTCTTGCAGTTCCAAACCCCGGCTGCAGGTAGTAACTCTTCAAATTGCATGTTCCTTGCTCAAAGTGCTGCATGGTGCCTGTTTCCTGAAGAGACCCTGATTGACACAGCACACTTAAGGTCATGATCGTGGTGTGACAGTCAAGGGCAGCAGCTCCTGGGCTCCAAAGGTCCGTACCTCTGTGGTCGCCATCATCAACCACAGGGGACAGCCTGACAACACGTAGTGCCACTGCATGCAGCAGGTGGCCGGCGTGCCACTTCCCGTGGGCATGGAGCTCAGCACCACACTCACATGCAGAGGCACAGCCCAACCCACCCCAAATCCCATCTCTGCACATCTGTCTCTCAGGCCATTCCCGATACCGATACTGCTCCGTAGAGTGGAGACTTCTTAGTAAGATCCCACAGCACAAACCATAGAAAACTAATATATTTGGCTACGTTGAAACTGAAAGCTTCTGTAGAGGGACACCACAGCAAAGGGAGAGCATGAGTCACTAATGCAGCAAACGCATCTGCCACACAACAACTGCCCCAGGACCCACACGGGGTGCAAGAAGAATTCATGCACATTTCCATGCAAAAGACCAACAACCCACAATGAAAGGGGGAAGGATCTGAACAGGCAACCCACAGCCGAGCAGCCCTGACTGGAGCTGGCCCATGAGGCCACTTGCCATGTGCCAGGCTGAGGTGGGCTTGTCCTTGCTGCCATGTTTCCCAAACGTCCCTCTCCCTGCCAACCTTTGCTCAGACAGATCCTCACCTCCCCCACCAGGGAGCCCCCTCCACCCTCTCAGGAAACTTCTGCCCCACCCCCTTCCCTCCCCCGCCCTGCCTCCTCCAGGAAGCTCTCCCGGACTGCTCCTGTCCAGGTGTGCGGCCTCCTGGGGACAGCTGGGCGCACGGTGGCTGGACGGCAGGAGGAGGTTTCTACCAGGTTCCTCCTTCCACACTTGCCTCCCTCCACTCAAGCAGGTGGTGGCTCTGCCCTTCGTCCACTCGGAGGAGGGAGGTGGTAGGGACAAGATACAAGCTATGGCAAGTCTCCCTGCCCTTCGTGTTCCCCAGAGCCCCGGCCCTTAGGAAGCGCAGTGGCCTCTTAAAGCACATGAACAGGGAGGAATATCCCAGAGGCTGGAGTGCCGGGCGGGCGGGCCAGCAGAGGTGATGGGCAGTGGCTGGGCTCGGAGGCCCAGCTGAGGACAGGTCGGCTTTGCCCGCCTGCAATGCAGCCCTGCTTAAGAGCCCAGGACTGCCGTCTCGACAGCCCAGGTGAGGCTCCCAGTCACAGGGCAGGAGGAGAGACTGGAGGCAGAAACTGAATTGGTTGCTAGAAAGCAGAGGTGTGGCGTGTCCTGTCCACCCCTCCCCATTCATCTCTGCCTCATCTGAGAGCAGGAGCCAGGAATGTCTGCGCCGTTTTGGCCTGGCTCTTCCCGAGGGTCTGGGAAGTCTGGGAAGTACAGGGCCTCCTCCTGTCTGAACTGGGGCCCCAGCGGGTGCTGTGGCCCAGAGACACAGTTGCAGGCACACGATGGGAGTGTCCACCAGGGCCTGCTGTGAGGGCTTGAGCTCCACTGCTGGGGGCAAATGCTTCCCTCCCTGGGGCTCGAGTCACTTCATAAACACCCTCAGGATGGAGATCGAATGCCACCAAGGGCACCCTAGCCCTGCCCCATCCCCCCGCAGGACACCCGTCAGAGCTGAGGTGGCTGCTCACAGCCTTCTGTCCCCACCCCCACTTCTCACCATGTACACGAAGACGTCGTTCTCGGCGCCCAGCCCGTGGCCCCACGCCAACTTGCTGAACAGCTCCTTCCGGAACTCCCACCGCAGCAGGATGGCACAGCGCAGGAAGGTGAACTTGGTCTTCTGGGGCCACAGCAGAGAGGGGTCACCCCGCATGCCCCAGGCTCCCTCTCCCCGGCAGACCCCAAGGGGAGCAGGCCTCTGCAGCCATGCTGTCCAGGGGCACTGAGGGTCCCTGGCCATATGGTCTGTGCCCTAGATGGGGGCGGCTGTGACCACCAGAGACAGAGGTGACCCCACAACGGTGTCTTCACTCCTGAAGCCCATAGGTGTCCTGCTCTGATTCATACTCACCCTGGCTGCCAGGCCTCCTTTCCCACCCTGAGGCCTCTCTCAAGGGCCAGATGGACAAGGTACAGACATCCGAGGAAGGGACCAGCTGCTCCCCAGCACCCAACGGCCATGAGCCCCTGGTCTTAGGCTGCTCTTGGAACGAGCCTATATGGACTGCTTGTGTCTCCCCCTGCAAATCCATATGTTGAAGCCCTAATCCCCAGGACCTCAGCATAGGACTGTATTTGCAGGTAAGGCCTTTACAGAGATAATTTAGTTAAGTTTAGGTCATACGGGTCCGTCCTAATCCAGGCTGACAGGTGTCCTCCTAAGAAGAATTAGGACTCAGACACACACAGGGACAACCATGTGAGGACATGGAGAAAACGCTGTCTGCACACCAAGGAGAGAGGCCTTGGGAGGAACCGCCTTGCCACAGCTGGATTTCGGACTTCCAGCTCCAGAACTGTGAGACCATAAATGTCTGTCGCTAACCACTCAGCCTGTGGGCCTGGACTCTCCCTCCTTTGCTGACTTGGGGGGACACAGTAGCACTCTCTTGTCCCCAGCGAGGCCATGCCCAGCTTAACCTTACTGCCTTTGCCCAATGCTCATAGAATGCATGGCCCTCCCTCCCTGGGTGAACCTTGGCCTCTGAGTAGCTCATCTTCAGACTCTGCAGTTGCTGAAGCCTAGAGAGACGCCAGAATCCCCCAGCAGCCTGCCCTGGTGACCCCCGCCCTGCCTTCCTCCTAGACCGAGCCTGTACCCCTCAGTCTCTCATATTGTTACATCCTGTCCTATACTGGTCTTCCATCCATCAACCCCTCCATCGTCCATGTGTCCACCAACCCCTCCATCGTCCATGTGTCCATCCACCCCTCCATCGTCCATGTGTCCATTAACCCCTCCATCGTCCATGTGTCCATTAACCCCCACCCCTCCATTGTCCATGTGTCCATCCACCCCTCCATCGTCCATGTGTCCATCCACCCCTCCATCGTCCATGTGTCCATTAACCCCTCCATCGTCCATGTGTCCATCCACCCCTCCATCGTCCATGTGTCCATCCACCCCTCCATCGTCCATGTGTCCATCCACCCCTCCGTCGTCCATGTGTCCATCCA